TAGTTTGCTGTTCAGTCATTTCATATCGCAACGACGGTTATAGTGTCGTAGCTAGTCTAGCTCGTTGTCCCTGGTCGACATCATATACATTAATTACAGAATTACCAGACAAATAATGACATTACATGCTATGAGAGTAAAATTAAATTTCTTTGTCCAACTTAGGCGTATTGTCCCCCCCCCCCTCCCCATTTTTTACGCATTCGATTGTCGAATGCCAAAACCAGAGCACAATTTCGCTTAAAAAAATAAACAAACATCAGCACCTAATAAAAGTCTGTATTTTGGCAGCCATTATTTCCACGACCGAACCGCACAGACAGGGACAATGGACGAGTGCGTGTAAATACATGCAGGCCTACAACTTATAAATCTGATCTACGGGCTAAAACACAGAGAACGCCGATTTCGGAGACTGACCCAGAGAGCGCCGATAGGTATAAAAATTCCCTTCTGATTTCCAACTTGCCCCACATAGAGCTGGCAGACTGCAGGCGGCTTTAAGCTCGGATCGGAGTTGTCGGCTTTGCCGAAAAACTGGGAAGGGCGTCTCGCTGTCAACTCGCAACCTCAGTGCTTTCCTGTCCTACCTCCATTTTTAAAAAGTGAAAATGTGACTTCTTAAGCTCACTCTTTGTTGTGAACTGCTTTCACTGTTATTAAAAATTGAGTTACGACTAGAAAGCACTGAGGTCGCGAACTCTCAATGCCGTCTCGCCGTCGCCAACAGCATTCTGGAGAAAATTTTCAATGGGCATTTGTCCTTGTTTGTAGCGGGTTATCAACTCGAATCTTTTTTTTTTTTCTTCAATGTCCCTGGCAGCTTTGCATTTTCTGTTCGTTGTCATTTTCATCTTGAAGGATGATTTCGTTTGCTCCTCTGACAAGTTTTTCAAAAAGAGGAAGATGTTTGGCCGCGAAGAGGGAAAGGTGTCCTTGAAGTGCTTATGAAAGTGACTCGCAGGCAGAGAAACGTGCACACTGAGTATTCGGTCGACTTAAAGTCCGAAATTGAACCTACTAGTAGGGGATCAAGTTAACATACACTGTAAAGGGATCATTTTTATTACATAGTAGCAGATAACCCACTGTGAATTCAACTACAGATCCTTTCTTTTCCAAATATTTTTTTTGCTTCTCATCTTTATCTTTCCTTTTCTAGTAACTTGTCTCATGGAGACAGCTAGGAATTACATGAGCTGCACGGGTGACAATATAATAATAATTATAGTGCACTTATAGTGCATTACGTAAGGCCTGCAGCTACACCCAGCCTGTGAGAGAAGTTTGCTTTATTGACTGCTGTGTAAGCTGAGTGTGTCTGTCCAAATACCTACTTTAAAAGAACTTTTCACTGTACACTACTCTAATGTATTGAATAAGTCTACCCCCCCCCCCCCATATTAATTTTCAGATTTTTTGTGTACCCCCCCACACGGCTCCTTATTCCATAACCCATCTATTATATTCCAGCTTGCCATGGCCGACAATCATGTGAAACATTATATATCTACCTTCTAGATATCAGAATGAAACTTCTTTTTTTTAAATTACTGAATGGCAAATTACCTTCAGTATTAGTACCGTTACCGGGTTGCCTACCCGAATTTTCTGCGCATTGAAAAAACTTTTGTACATTGGTTTGCGTTTTTTAATATGAAACTGGTTTGTTCCTAACTGGGGAAATGTTGTCACGGTAACTTACTAAAATCACTAAAATTTCATGATCTCTTGTTATTTTAGTCACTGAAGGAGAAATAAAACAGATCTGTTCCTACTAGTATAGGGCTATGAAGAGATTGAATGTGCCACCCCCTCCATGTCATTTATTAGTTTTGGACCACTTGTCCACCCCCCCCCCCCCCCCCCCCGTTTATTCGATACACCTTAGATATGAATAGATATGAAAGAGACCAGACAAAAGGATTTACTGTAAGTAAGCCTGCTATGGCCAAAATCTTGTTAGACTTAAGAATGTTATAAATGGCACCCACTCTATCTTTAACACTGCCATTCAGGTCCAAAATGGACAGAATGGGACATACAATCCAAACAGAATGAACAGACTTTCCCAATGCCGAAATTGTTAGATTTGTATTAGTAGAGGTTTTACGGCGCTCGCAACTGCATAAGGTCATATGAGCACCAGAAGATTAGGTAGCAATGACCACGAAAAACCTTTTTTTTGCCAGAAAGTGTTTGCAAATAGGTGCATTTTGTAGCTTTATCTTCACTGAGCATGGAACTTTCTGAATTTTTGAAATCCATCAATAAACAAAAAAGTTACGGATTTTTTAATCAATTAATTTCTGGTACACTTTTATATAATGAAAAACCCCCAAAATATGGGACGTTCTTTGGTGAGTTTTGAGACAATATTCGTCATAACTCGCTCATTTTTTGGAGTATTTAAAAGAAACTTGGCAACCCAGTACATTTTCTAGTGCAGAATCTAGTCCTGCTTTCAGATTTTTCATAGCTATCCTATTTTTTGAGTTATGAAGACGTTTATAGGTAAAAATGTGGCAGTTTTAGGTGCGTTTTGAGACAATATTTGTCATAGCTCGCCTATTTCTTGGAATATGTAAATGAAACTTGGCAGTCTCGTACATTTTTTAATGCAGTACCTAGTCATGCAGTCAGATTTTTAATATCTGTCATACTTTTTGAGTTGTAAAGACATTAACAGGTAAAAAAGTGGTGTTCTTTACAGATTTACAAAGATTATCAGTCATATGTTCTCCCAAAGTCATGATATTGGAATGAAACTTGGCAACATAAAAGGTTCCTCCTTGCCAAGCAATGCTCTGGATCAATTTGTCACAAAAATGTAAGTAGAGAGCTGGATTTATTAGTTTAATAAATCCAGTTCTGTACTAGTAAAAGCATGCTTACTTTGTTATAGAAAATAAGATCGTCTCTGTGTATATCCATTGTTGGACAGTGTCCCATTGTGTGGTAGATTAAGATGCGTTCAGATAATATAGTTTACAAGTCATGGGAATATTTCGCATGTGTAGGCTACAACTCATACAATAAATGTAACACATTTACACCCCCCCCCTTCTCTCTCTCTCTCTCTCTCTCTCTCTCTCTCTCACGCGCGCACAAACACACACACACACACACACGCACGCGCGCACTCACGCACGCGCGCATGCACGCGCGCACAAACACACACACACACATGCACACGCGCGCGCGCACTCACGCACGCGCGTGTGAACGATAACAATGTATAAACGGGACTATCTTCCCAGACTGGACTAAATAAGTACCATACTCTTTAATAACAATCTTAATGCCTCACTTTTCCAAACAGAGCGCACAGGACGAGTCCATGTGTGTGCTTTCCCAAGAGGGGGGAATAGGCTTTCATAACGCAAACACAATGCCATACCACTTCTCAAGATGTTTGCTTTTCTATTTTTATTCTTCTGTCATGCAATCAAGCAAATAAAAATGACAACATGTATTGTATTGTAACTAAAATGCAACACAAACGCAAGTTATCAGGGCCCCCGTTTAGTTTTCATGTATCCTTTCCCCCCTTTCCGGTTCACATAAGCGGGGCCTCGTTTGTAGCGCCCGAGGCGACCGATTGCTGATGACGTCACTCAGTGGAAATTTCCCAGCCGCAGGTCGTTCGCAAATGGCAATGTCGCCTTTTCCCTTAGTTACTCCCACATTTTTAAAGATTACGCCAAAACCGCTAAACACAGAAGCTTGAAATTTTAAGGGAATAAAGAAAAATGGTGAACAACGTATCAGTCAGTTTGACAAATCACAGCTCCGAAAAATCTTCAAAGCGCACCACATCAACCGCTTTCGCAAACGTTTTCGACTGCTTCTAGGATGGGTACAATGTTGTCAAACTGCATACTACTACATTGACCTCTTTTCTGATTGGCTGCCAAGTTTCATTCATATCCATTCACGAGAAGCGGCGTGAGAGCGAGTTGAAGACAACAACCTTTGCGTTCGTGCGTCCCACGAAACACCCCCGCTGCGGGGGTCAAAAATCGGCAGAACAAAACGCGCTTGGTGGGCATTGCTAATTAGAGGTGTTACAAGAGAGTAACAAACATAACAAAAAAGGAGGGGCGATAAGGACGATAGATGTTGATAGGAAAGAAGAAGCAAACCACACCTGAGCACCCGCTAACCATCCACCGCCGAAATTGAACAAATTGCTTTTTTGTGTTTAACGAAGAATGCCTCACCATTATGTCACAATGGACACTAGGTAAATACAGTTAAATACAAAATCTGAACTGAATGAATTCACAAAACTGTCAAAAGATCAGATTTAAAAGAAAAGCCTCCAGTGCTGATTCAATGAGTGTTAATAAAATACAACCTTGGAAATGATTTCATTACATGGTCTTGTTGGTATATATATTTCTGGTTGATGGTAGTTTTAGAGAGATCATCATTAGTTCTCTTGAACAATCACATCCATTCTAGCATCCACCTTGGACTTTCTTATTAATACTTTAATAGCAAACAATACTTTCATTCATGATAGAATGTGTCACAGCACGGTAGAATCACGCGCTCGTCAATTTTTGGGCACATGGAGTTATTGGCATCAGCTTAAAATTTGTTAATTTATCTTTCTTTCTATGGAAAGCAACTTCCATTCAACTTGGATACAAGTCAAGATATTGGCGATTAAAGGTGGGGGTCAATTGGTTTCAGAGGTAAAATAAGCAAGAAAATGGCCCCCAACGTTTAGTTAGTTCCTCAGCTTGAGAGTCCGGGGAACCTGAAAATTAATAATTTTTTTGTGCCTTTAATCAGCGGTTATCAGTAAAAATCCATACAGAAATGTATTCTTTAACTTTAATGGACATGAAAGGTGTTGAGCAAAAAAAAAAAAATTCGATAAAAATTCCCAAACCTGCGGGAAAATGCCAGTTTTTTCACTTTCATTATTTTGATGAGCGCCTGATTTCACCACACTGCCTCACATATACATTCAGATTGTTTCACAGTACCTAATGAGGCAAAGTTGACGGTTGTGGTAATGGCTTGGGGTCATAGCCGATCCGAGCATGAATCATTTCAGTCCTGGACTTGGTCGTGAAAACCTCTGGGGTCAAGTTCGGGTCCACTTTTGTCAGCCGATTCGCAGCTTCGCGCTCTTCTTTCACTTTTTTGTTGTACTCTTCCAGATCATCAATCTTAAGCTCAACCCGAGTCGGTTTTCTTCGTAACATGGTGAGAGGCAAGACTGACTACCAAATCTGAAACAAAAACAAAAATAAAGCAAGTAGTATTATATAGTGAACAAGTAGTGTATCAAAACACAAAGACCCAAGATAAACTAGAGTGATCATCCAAGAAGCTAGGATATATTGGAAACATCAGTCCTATAGTAGTTCTATCTTTAAAAGTTGTATCAATATAATATCAGAAGAATTTTCAGTTGTAATTACAGTGATCTTGGAAAAAAAAAAGACCATGAGGCAAACCCGGAACATGCATGCTGTACACCCAAAGAAACAGCTTTTCGCTATGCTCAGACTTTGAATGAGTGGCAACCCCAATGAACGCGGTGCCCACATGCACAAGTTCACTGACCGGCCACGATGGCGAGCCTGACAATCTAAAAATCGGACGGCGCTTGTAATTATTTTCTTTTCTTTTTTGTCACAAGAGACAGTACAGAGACGAGTCCGAGTATTGATTAAATTTTACAAAGTGACTATTTCTCCGAACGCTCGGGAAAATAACGTTGAACTTTATTTCTCCGAACAGTTTCTGATCTCGAGATTTTTTTGGTTATTTGCGAGATTTAGGCGCATCCTTTCATTCTGCTATTCTGCGAGGACTGGGAGGAAGCATTTTTTGCATTGAATTCAATTTCTAGAGCTAGAGATTTTTAAATGTCTGAATACAGACCCGGTAACCCGGAACAAAGTCACCAAGTTTACAGACCCGGTAGGGGGAAATCTTTTGTGATTTCGGAAAATCTCAGCACCCTCTTGGTTCAGGGTAGACTTAAAGGTTCTTCTAAATCTAAGGCCTAGATCTTGATCAGGACAGACAGACATTTAATATATAAAACGAAGTGTATACAGACCCGGTAACCGGAAACAAAGTCACAAAGTATACAGACCCGGTAGGGGAACTCTTTTGTGATTTCGGGAACTTTCAGCGCCCAGACCCGGTAGTGTGTGTGTGTGTGTGTGTGTGTGTGTGTGTGTGTGTGTATGTGTGTGTGTGTGTGTGTGTGTGAGAGAGAGAGAGAGAGAGAGAGAGAGAGAGAGAGAGAGAGAGAGAGAGAGAGAGAGTGAGTGAGTGAGAGAGAGAGAGAGAGAGAGAGAGAGAGAGAGAGAGTGAGTGAGTGAGAGAGAGAGAGAGAGAGAGAGAGCAGGGGGAAGTGCTAGCAAAATGTATGCCCCAGTTGGCAGGAGGGAACGAGAGAAAGATAGAGTGGGAAATAGGTGGGGAGAAAGAAAGACAGAGACAAACAAAGAAAAAGAGAATGCGAGTGATACACAGCGACAGAGGAGAGAGAGAGAGAGAGAGAGAGAGAGAGAGAGAGAGAGGAGAGAGAGAGAGAGAGAGAGAGAGAGAGAGAGAGAGAGAGAGAGAGAGAGAGAGAGAGAAGGGGGGGAAGGGAGAGAGAGAGAGAGAGAGAGAGAGAGAGAGAGAGAGAGAGAGAGAGAGAGAGAGAGAGAGAGAGAGAGAGAGAGAGAGAGAGAGAGAGAGAGAGAAATAAAGAGGGTGACTGCTCGATTGAAATTATGACATTGTTCTTAAATTCTTCAAATTGTGATTCCTCCAACTCCAAAACGGAGGAAAAACGATCGTTCATTGAAAATACATCCGCAATCTTCATTTAGATTTAGATCTAGATATCTAGGCTAGCCTCGAAACTAGATCAATGATTTATCTGTCTGTCTAGATCTAGACCTAGATCTAGGCCATAGATCTAGAAGAACCTAGTTCTACCCTGAGCCAAGAGGGCGCTGAAACTTTCCGAAATCACGAAAGAGTTACCCTAGCGGGTCTGTATACTTTGTGACTTTATTCCCGGTTACCGGGTCTGTATACACTCCCTATATAAAATCATTCTCTAGTTTCGAAGATTGCGGTCTTTTCGATGAACAATCGTTTTTCCTCCGTTGGAGGACGAGACAATTTGAAGAAAAGAACAATGTCATTTAATTTCAATCGAGCAGTCACCCTCTCTCTATTTCTCTGTCTATCTCCCTATCTCCCCTCATTTTCTGCCTCTCCCCCCCCCCTTCTATCTCTTTCTCTTTGAATTTGTCTCTTTCCTCTGTGTCCTGTGTATCGCTCGCCTTCTCTTTCTCTTTGATCTCTGTCTTTCTTTCTCCCCCACCTACTTTCCCACTCTATCTTTCTCTCGTTCCCGCCTGTCAACTTGGGCGTGCATGTGATTTGCTAATTTAATGCTAGCAGCTCACTTCCTGCTGTTCTCTACCCCCTCCTCTCTCTCTCTCCTCAAATACACACTGACACATGCACACACACACTCTCTCTCTCTCTCTACCCGGTCTGGGCGCTGAAACTTTCCAAAATCACAAGACAAAAGATTTCCTCTACCAGGTCTGTATACTTCGTGACTTTGTTCCCGGTTACCAGGTCTGACTTCGAGTTTTATAAAAGATGTAATACAGGCTGAAGCAGTAAGGCCTAGTCTAGATTCTAGATCTAGATCTATATCTAGATTCTATATAAATCTAGACTATATCTAGATCTAGATTCTAAATTTCTAGATTCTACACTCAAAAATGTTGAAAATGAAAGGCAAGCAAGACATAATAATAAACTTAGACTTAATGATAGGCCTACTAGATCTAGATATCTAGATCTAGATCTAGATTCTAGATCTAGAATCATACACCTGACTAACCTCTATGAAAACAGCGGTGTGCGCAACAACACAGTCAAGTGATAGATCTAGAATCTAGATATAGTCTAACTCTAATCTAGAAGGCTAGACCTAGCAAATAAGACCACTGCGTATCCAGACAGTTCCACTGACAGTTGAAGTTCCACTAGACAGTTGATAGTGGGCATTGACAGCACAGAATTCGGTACCAGAATTCTACTATCTAGATCTATAGTATAGCTTCTCTAGACTTATACTATAGAATTCTGTGTGAGTGATTGACAGTGACACATTGTCCCTGGACGAAGATTTCGTTCACCGTTCAGTCGTTCAGTTGACAGTTTTGACAGTTGAATTTTCATTTTTAGACTTTTTTACGTTTTGCACATTAGAGAGTGGAGATTATTTGGAACACTTTTCGACGCTAAAAAAACCGATACTTTGAACAATGAAGAATAATATTATTATAAATTATAGAAGAAGAAGGGTTGTTTTCCTTTCTTATTTTAGTCATAAGTCATATGAAACAAGGGCTTCCACATTATGTCTCCTCCTTCTCCCCCTCTCTATCTCTTTCTCTCTCTCTCTCTCTCTCTCTCTCTCTCTCTCTCTCTCTCTCTCTCTCCCCCACACACACACAAACAACACACACGCACGCACACACACACACACACACACACACACACACACACACACACACACACACACACACACACACACACATACGCACACACTGTGTTTGTACATTGGGATCGAGAATGCTCATTAGAGAAATTACACCTTCTTTTTATTTGTATGGCTGTAGTTATTCGCACAGGGTGAGTGAATACTATGGAATTGTACATGTATTCGCAAAGTATGTAATTTTATTCGCAAAGGATGTGTGAATATTGTGTGAATATTGTGAAATTTTATTCGCACAGGGTGTGTGAATAATAATAATAATAATAATAATAAATAATAATAATAATAATAGATAGCATTTGTTTTGCGCATATCCCCGCTCAACAGCCAGGCTCTATGCGCTTTACACTATATTATTACCCCAGCAGACCATAGAACACTCTGAAACATTCTCAGCTTCCCGGGAAGCATACAGTGCGAGCAGCCGATTAAGCGCTCAAACACTAACAAACTGACAAGATCTTTCGCTGTCTATAGCCGGGTACCCATTCCCACCTGGGTGAAGTGAGGAAAATTCGTGTAAAGTACCTTTCCCAAGGACACAACGTCGGGCCCTTGACGGGATTCGAACCCACGACCTTACGGTTGCGAGTCCGAGAGCCTAACCACTAGGCCACCGACGCCGAATACTGTGTGAATACATGTACAATGAAAGGTTATTCACACAGGGTGTGTGAATGCTCCGAAATTATATTCTCACAGGGTGTGTGAATACCACAAACTATTATTGGCACAGGGCGTTTCAAAAGAAGGATGGAAATTATCTAGATATAGCATTTCCTAATTTTCCCCCTTTTCATCCTCTTTCGCGTAGGGATAGATCTAGATTCTAATTCTAATTGTGCAATGCGATACAACAACAACAAAACAACAACAACAAACAAACTCAAATTGGAATTCGAGTTGTGTACATGTATTGTGTCAATGATAATGACTCAAATTTCTCTTTTTTCGTTTTTGTTTCTGTTTCCCTTGCGCTATAGAGAGAGGAGAGAGAGAGAGAGAGAGAGAGAGAGAGAGAGAGAGAGAGAGAGAGAGAGAGAGAGAGAGAGAGAGAGAGATGAGTGCATGCCAAGGAGTTTAGAACTACTTTTAATCTCCTTGGTGCATGCTTATTTTAACCCTAAATCTGAAACAAGTTATACTAGATCTAGATCTAGATCTAGATATAATCTAGATATAATCTAGATCTAGTGTCCAGTTGTTTTAACATTTAAAGCCTTTGCCAAAAGGTGGGATACCCGGGTGTGAAAAACGAGGTCCAAAATCAACGTAAGGCTCGACCCTATGCGAATAAAATTATTTCTTATTCGCACACCCGGTGTGAATAATCACTTCCTATTGGTATAGCAGGTATTTTCAGTAAGGGCACCCCCCCCCCCCCATATCCATGTATTGGCGTGTATGGTTTAGGCCACAGAATGAGTGTAGAATTCTGTGGTTTAGGCCTAAGGCGGCGGGGAGATGAAGAAGAGGAAGAAAAAGGAGAAAGAGGAAAGGAGAGAAGATGAAGTCGAAACTTTCTTTGCTCCTTCCTCTTGATTTAGATCTACTTTCTAACTTCTTCACAAAAGACTTCGAAGATGGCTGCGAAGCTGAAGAAACGGGCTCTTGCCGAATTTAGTCATGTTGTGACGGTATGCACACACATAAAATCTCCAAATGAGGGCTAGAATTTAAATGTAGTATGCTGTGTTATTCTAGCTTTGGATAGGGTGGTATTCACATTACACACGTAGAACCAGCCTACTGTCCGTGTTCCTAGAACCTGAACTTGGACGGAACAACCAACAGTCAACAGTAACAGTATCTCAGTCTCTCCTGTCTAAAATTTAAAATTCTAAAACTCAACTTAAGTTAAAGTTTAGAAAGTAGATCACTCATCAACTCGTCAGCCTGCAGTATCGTCGTTTTAAATACCCGCCCACCTCCCCCCCTCTATCTCTCTCTCTCTCTCTCTCTCTCTCTCTCTCTCTCTCTCTCCATGTCATGTGAGCTCTCTCTCTCTCTCACTCGCAACACTCACACACACGCAAACACACAAAAGATCATTTCACTTAACAAACTCGTAAGCTAAAATTAAAATTCAAGGAGAGAGGGCAGAGGGAATTGAACTGAGGCAAACAATGGAAATGAGAATTTGCCTTCTTGCTGAAACTGAAAATGATAAAATGATGAGGGGCACTCATGTGAAATTCTACTTTTTATTTTTCAATAATTTTAATAAATTATAATTATCATGTAGATCCAGATCTGTATTGAGGCCTATGCTCTTGGTGCAGTTGTACCGTTTTTTTTCACGCCCCCTCCCCCACCATCTGAAGTACGACTGAAAACAAGCAAAAAAGACAAATTATAAATGTTTTATTTAATATGAATTTAAAACTATAAGCAATTTTTGTGCTTAATTTTAATATTTGTCTTTCAGGAAGAGCCCCAGCCAGTAAAAAAGTTGCGACTCATTCAACGGTCTAGTGCCCCAAGTATTTCTCTCAACCTCTCCAGCACTGCCAGCCCACAAGAGACGCTGTTTATACTGCTGAAACTGTCCACCAACATTCCCACTGATAAAGAAGCTGCTGAATCAATTTATGCTGAGCTGTCGGAACATCTTGCGGGCGAGCGAGATTCCATCGTAAGATGCAAGATTATTTCCATCTACGCCAGGTTGGCTCTGGTACCGGGATTTTGTGCCCAAATGCTGGTGGACGATGTACTATCCAGGACAAATTCTGAGAGTGAGTCTCGTACATTCATGCCATTTTTTCAGAAAGTGTCCTGAGAGTTCTGAAAATCATGAACAGCATTAGTTACAGATTAATATATATAACAAAAAACAACAGTTGTGTACTTTGCATTATGGAATCTACTTCTATGTTATGTCACAATACTTTTTCTTTCAATGTTTATTACAAGGCGCATCGGCAGTTGAATTTTAACTGCAGCGGGGGTTCCCTGCCGAACGCCTTATCACGTCGGGGTCACAAGGGTCATCTCCCTGCCGCTGCTCTGTCTTGGCTGACTTAATTTTTGGTACTTTTCAACCTAAAGTTTTAGACTTGTATCCTTGTATTTATGTTATCATTTAATGCACCTAAAGTACGCATTTCTGCTCTTGAGACTCAAAATAGAACGAACATTGTACCATATAACTTATCCCGTGATCCCGAGCCGAGGAGTTCCTGCAGGCTGCTGAATCACGCTAACTAAAAGTAACTGAATCGGGTGAAAAGTGACGCCGTGATTATTTATCTCTGTCTCCTTTGTTCCATCGGTTCCTGCCACGTCAGTGTGTTTTAATTAAGATTCTTTAAGTTTTTTAAAGTGTTTTTCTGTATTCCAACCAACTCATGTCCATCCATTCGTGTCAAGTTTTTAAAAATCTTTGTAAAGTTCACTTCTGGATTATTAAAACATACATCTTATCAGTTAGATTTTTGTAACAGTTTTCTGATATTATAAATAATTTTCACTTTAAGTATAAAATTTATCTTTTTTTCTCCTTTCCTTTCTTTTTCCTCCTGCAGCGTCACACAAGGTACTCAGCCAGCTGTTTCTCTCTGCCCAGGCTATTAGCCAAATCTTTTCCCCCAGCAGCCCGTACATCAAAAAGTTCATGTTGGCGGCATACAAGGTAGGTAAATACTTGTATATATATTCCCTTGCACAGGTTATGTATTTGCCAAGATTGCACGATTGAGTTGATTTTCTGGAAATAAAATTCTAAGTACTTAGGTTTCAATTAAACAATATACCAAGAGAAATTGTGTAAGTTGTCCTTCGTTGTCCTGCAGAATGTCCCAAGGCTTAAAAATGTTTAACTGTATTTTTAAATTTCATTAGACTTTTTTCTGTTTGCTGTACAAGTTATGGCCTTCTAAATTCCTCTGATTGGTATTGAATTGAATTTTTCAGAAATGAGAGGTCCATTCCCAAACAGGCATGGAAATTATCCACAAAATTTCCTGTAATTATATTTAGATTAGTTTGCTCACGGAAGCCACTCTTCTGCTTACCGTTGTTCTTCAAGTTGGGTCATGAGAAATTTCATTTTTTGTAATTATAAAAGAAAAAGAAAATGATGTACAGCATTTTTGGTAATAAAAACATACTTGCTGTCTCACCTTGTATAATCTTTTCACAAAAGTTCTGCTCTTTCACTCTGCGGTCTTTTGTAGTTTTGCTAAGCGTGTTGAAAGGGATGTTGCGCTTTTTTCTGTACACCCAACTGTTATTAGAGGTAGACTTGGTATATATTTTCTGTCCCCAGAATGTCTCCCATGGAGATCACAGGGTGAGAAGCAGCTGTCTCCAGCTGATTGGCCGTTTAGCCTCGTGCGAGAGCCAGAGGAAAGACACACCTGCCTCGCCAGATTGGCCTGTATCTGTGCAAGAGTTGCTGACACGCTACATAGCTGATCCGGACCCACGGGTGCGCTGCAGTGCCTTTGAGGCTATGGTAAGCGCTGTTCTCTTGTCTGTAGCACACCCTTTTTATCGTAGTGAATCGTTGTTGCTGTATTTATGGACTTCACTGTTCCTTAGATAAATGTTTGGGTGGTTGGCGGATGCTGGGGTGTGGTTTGTGCCTTCTTTCCAAAAACATATCGTCGTTTTCTCTCCTCCTGAGACCCCCCGGGGCAGTGCCACTGACAGTAGTGTCTTTAGGCCATTCTCAAAGGGGGGACATTTCTCGTTCAAGCATAGTAGAATTGTACATGGGCTGACTCATGTCACGCTCATAACTGCCTGATCTGCAACAGGGAACTGCTGCTTTTTCTTTCCTGATCCTTACTATTGTCATTTTCCTCTACTTCTTTTGTGTGTTTGTCACTCTCTTGTGACCTGCTATTTCCGAGGTGCCTTGATAGTCGAAGCAGACCTTGTGCTGTTGAAGCAAGAGAGGTGAGCAGTCTTAGTCTGATTCCCTGTAAAGACTTCTCTGTTGACACCCACCCCTTGGCGCTCATATGACCTTATGCAGTTGTGAGCGCCGTAAAACCCTCTACTATAAAAAAACCCACCAAAAAAACTCCTCCTGTTTTTTAGTATGTTCCTCTCTAGTATCTTAGGTGCTTATATTACATAGTTGTGTTGCAAATGCCGTAAAACTCTTACAAAAATTAAAATATTGAACAAATGTTTTTTTCTCTTGACCTACTCAGCTGTCTCTGCACAACAGCGGCCAGCCGGTGGCGGAGACAGTGTACCAACAGGCGTGTTCGGCTCTCACCGACGACTACGAGGGCGTCCGGCTGGCAGCCATACAGCTCATCTGGGTGCTTGCTCACTTCTATCCTGAGAGGTATCTTGGGATAGCCCTTGAGGTCCTTTTTGTTGTTACTGATTTATTCATGTTCTTTGTCATAAGTAACACAAAGGAGTTCCAGTGTTTATGCTAATTTTGTTAATCCAGTTTTGTTTATGTTCTCTTTTGTCGGTAACATAAAGGAGTTCCAGTGTTTATGTTAATTTTGTTAATCCAGTTTTGTTTATGTTCTTTTTTGTCGGTAACATAAAGGAGTTCCAGTGTTTCTATTATTTCTGCGCTAAATTTGTAAGAGTGAATGAAAATTCTGCTCTCTCAACTGGGCTCTAACACACTTCCCTCTTTAGAAAAATGAAACCAAGGCTACAGGCTAAGGGGGCTCTCATGGTCCAGAGGTTACGGTGTTCGCCTCTCATTCAATAGGTCCAGGGTTCAAAACTCGACAGTCATAGAAAATTTTCTACTTCAGAACTGGACACTTATAAGGACAAGCGGGCTAACCCAGATATCGGGGGGTTTCCAGAAATCTTAACCTACATCAAAAGTGGGCATAGCCCTACCTATAAGAGAAGTTTGGTTTCATATTGGTGTGTATATTTGTTTGGTTATAGAGAAAACTCTCCTTTTCTTTTAAAAAAACAAAGCAAGGTGCAAAAACTTTACCTTCCATTTTCTCAAAACAGCTTTTATCGGGATAGCCCCCCTTGTGCTTAAAAGCGACCAATTTTCTCCTTTCACCTACTTTCCTGCTCTTTAACCTAATTCTGTCGACAGCTTTCGTCTCCACTTTCTCCCTCCCCCCCCCCCCCCCCTTTGCACCCTCATCTAGGCTCCTGGCTCTTTCTGTAGCCTTTCTACTGCTACTCCTTTGCTCTTTGTTGTGCAAATGAGCTGCTGCTGCTTGTTAACTACTTACACTCCAGTGAAAACTGATGATGTGCACACCGAATGTTTGTCCTTAATTTTGTGATAATTTAGCCCTAATGCTGCTCTGGAAAAATAAAAAAAAAAAAATTTGGTTTGCTTTCTTCTCTCACTTACTTTCTCTCTCTCTTTCCCCCTACTCCCCCCACTACCCCAATAATCCTCCCCCTC